GCTGGGGGATTGAACCGCGGTCCCTGATGCTTTGCTAAGCTTGTTCTAAGTAGGTGCCTTAGACCACTGAGCCATCTCTCCAGCCCGGAATTTCTATTTTGATTTGAAGAATTTCCATGCTAACTTCCATAGAGGTGGCACCAATGTACATTCCCACCAGAGTTCCTCTGTCCCCAAGCACTCTGAAGAGAAAGGTAAATTCTCACAGTGTCAGGGAGAAGGGTACTTGGAGGCTTCTAATTCAAGCTGTTACCTCACAGTGATTGTGCCTTTAGAAATTTTAATGATTTTGCTTTAAAAAATTAAAATGTGATGTTACATAAAACAACTTATGTTAACAATGTAGTATTGTGAAACAAGACAGTTGTTGGAATGATAAGGTGTGACACTTCATGTTCTAGGTATAGTTTGGGTCTTATTGGGATAAAAAGAAAAAAGAGAGTTTGAAAATATTAGCTTTTAATACAATATTAAAAAAAAACTTATGTATTTGGTACAGGGTCTCGCTATGTAGCTTAGACTTGTGGTGATCCTCCTGTTTCAGCCTCCTTAGTGCTGGGATTACAGGCATGAACATGCTTGGTTTTAGGGGCTGGCACAGTGGGCCTGGGTGGGGCTGTCATGGCATGCAGTACCAGGGATCGAACCTCCATCCTTGCACTTGCCAGGCAGGCCCTTAGACCGCTGAGCTATCTTCCAGTCCCCCAAAGTACTAGCTTTATAAAGACCTTAGAGATTTCTGTATTCTGTGAGTTTTCAATTTTCCCCTACAGTTCTTAGAATCCTTTGCTTAGAGAGACAGTATAGCAGGGAAGGTCAGAAAGACCCAAACTCATATTTGGTTAAAGAGTGTAAAAGGATGGGGCCGGGGGGGGGGGGAATCCAGACTGTCCCATTTGAAAATTATTTATTCTGGTCCAACTACCAGACTCAAGAAACCAGGACATGGACAGGAAGCACAGCTAAAGGAAGGTTTGGATTAGAAACACTTCTCATAATTTTCTCTCCAATTGGGGGCTTTTCTTGCTATATCTCACTATATGTATTGTACATTTCAGTACAATAGAAGCAGAATAGATGTTCTAGTGGACACTTAATATTGCAAATACAAAGCATTCAGGATCACTAACTACAGCTTACACACACACACACACACACACACACACACACACACACACACCCCTATATACATACAGACAG